GCGGGCTCACGCAATCCACTCACCTCAGCCTCCCAAAGGCGCGGGATTACAGGCTGAGCCACCGAGCCAGGCTTGCCTGTTTTTTAAAAACAGATTTACTAGCCGGGCTCTGTGGCTCAGCCTGTAATCCCCCGCCTTTGGGAGGCTGAGGTGAGTGGATTGCCTGAGCCCGCGGGTTCGAGACCCGCCTGGGCAGCAAGACTTCATCTCTACAGTAAATCAAAAAATCAGCCGGGCGTGGTAGTGCATGCCTGTAATTCCGGCTACTTGGAAGGCTGAGGTGGAGGGATCGCCGGAGCCCAGCAGGTCGAGGCTGCGATGGCCGGGAGCGTCCACTGCACTCCAGTCTGGGCGACAGAGTGAGACTCCAACTCAAAAAACAAACAAACAAACAATAAATAAAAACAGATTTACTGAAATATAATCCACCTATTTAACGGGTACAATTCAATGGCTTTTAGAAAGCCATTGAATTTTAGAATATTTCACAAAGTCATGAACTTTAGAATATTTTAATCACATCCTCCCCCAAACCCATAGCAGTCAGGCACCTTTGCAGCCCTGGACTCCACCAATCCGCTTTCTATCCCCTTCATTTGCCTGTTCTGTAGATAACAAAGGAGACCATGCAGTCTTTGTGTCTGGCTTTTACTGAACACAATGCTTTTGAGGGTCATCTGTGTTGTAGCATGTTCCAGTACTTCATTTCATTTTATGGCCAGATAGTATTTCACTGTCTGGCTATATCACAGTTTATCTGTTCCCCAGTTGATGGTCATTAACTAGCACTGTTTCCATTTTTTGGCTGTTAGAATAGTGCTGTTGGCCAGGCTCGGTGGCTCAGTCTGTAATCCCAGCAATTTGGGAGAGTGAGGTGAGTGGATTGCCTGAGCCCACAGGTTTGAGACCCACCCGGGCAACTTGGCAAGATCTCATCTCTACAATCAATCAAAAATTAATTAGCTGGGTGTAGTAGCGTGTGCCTGCAGTTCTGGCTACTTGGAAAGCTGAGGTGGAAGGATCGCCAGAGCCCAGCAGGTCGACGCTGGGGTGGCCATGAGTGTGCCACTGTACTCCAGCCTGGATGACAGAGTAAGACTCTGACTCAAAAAGATCAAAAAACCAAAAACCCCAGAAATAGTGCTGCTGTGGACATGTGTGTACAAGCTTTGTCTCTTTCTGAATTTCATAAACATGGAACCATTCAGCACTTAGCCTTTTTCATCTGATGTCTTCCATTGTGATATTGTATCTGTGAGAGTCACCCATCCTGTTGCACGTGGCATTGGTTTGTGCTTTCTCATTGCTGCACGGTGTTATATTGTGTGAGTATACCACAACTTATATATCTATCCTCCTATTTATGGGCATCTGGATTCTTCCCAGTTTTTGTCTGTCATGTATGGAGTTGCTCTTACCTGTAATTTCAACATATATATTGCCTAGCTTAGTCTAAAATTGAACAGTACTTCTTCTCAATCTGGTCCCAAATCTCCTTCTCAAAGGAACTGGGTGAGACTCTGAGGTCAGGAAACTATTCAGATGGACTCCGCCAAGCTCAGTAAAGCACAGTAAATACTGGGACAGACTTTTACTTTTTTTTTTTTTTTTTTTGAGTTGGAGTCTCACTCTGTCACCCAGACCGGAGTGCAGTGGCCGGCAGCGGGTTCCTCGACCTGCTGGGCTCCGGTGATCCTTCCGCCTCAGCCTTCCAAGTAGCTGGAACTACAGGCACATGCTACCACGCCCAGCTAATTTTTTTGATTTATTGTAGAGATGAGGTCTCGCCAAGTTGCCCAGGCGGGTTTCGAACCCGTGGCCTCAGGCAATCCACTCACCTCAGCCTCTCAAGGCGTGGGATTACAGGCTGAGCCACCAAGCCCGGCTAACTTTTACATTTTACCAATCACTCCCACCATGATCAACCCTCAGCACTCACAACCCACTATTGGGCAACATGGTCACATTCCCTACCTTCCCGGGCCGTGTACTCGTTGTCTTCGATGACACGTGCCAGGCCGAAGTCAGCAATCTTACACACCAGGGATGCAGAGACCAAGATGTTGGCAGCTCGGAGATCTCGGTGAATGTAGTTTCTCTGCTCAATGAAGGCCATGCCTTCTGCAATCTGCACCCAAAACAGTGATACCCTCATCTTCAGACTTGGCTCAGCCCAAGGTGGTCCCACCCAACAGCAGCAAAGGGTATCTAAACAGGAGGAAACTGGAAAACACTGCGACAGCTCCCGTTTTTTGTTGGGAGGGCCTGAAACTCAGTCTGTCTACCCATTCGGGCTGGTGGGAATTCATAAGGCCTAGGTCAGTTTGGGGGCTTCCAGAGAGCACTTTGCAATGTTCTCTAGGAAAAAGGAATAGTTCTATCTCTCTAGGACCTGCATGTGCATGTGTGAATGTGCGCGCACGCACACACACACACACACACACACACACACACACACACACACACACACCAAGATACTATGACAAGCTTTCATCCTAACCCCCTCTCCGGGGACACCCCAAGCTCATATCATGTTCTGCTATAGCTCTTATATCTTCTTCATCCTCAAGCCTGGGTAGGGAAAATCCATTTATTCATTCAACAAAAATTGACTGAGTGTCTGTGGGTGCTAGACAGGTACTTGAATGGGTTGGGACCCAGGCAAAGCCCTACAGGTGATGAGAAGTACCACGTAGACAAGATAAAGTGGAGGGAAAAGCCATGACATAGAGAGGACTTTTCTGGATGGTGGGGGGGGGGGGGGGGGGGGGGCAGGAAAGCCTGTTTTGTGGAGATGGTATTTTAGCAAATATCTCAATGATAATAAAAATAAATGTGTCAAATAAGAACATTCTAGGCAGAGAGACCATCAGGTGTAAAGGCCTGGGGTGGGCACAAGCTTGGGAGTTCACAGAACAGCACAGTGGCCAGGGTTCAGGGGCAGAAGATGCCACAGAAAGAGCAGGGGAAGCTGAAGCTGAGAGGTGCCAACCACAAGCAGCCGTCAGGGCCAGGAGAGGAGGCTGGATTTGTTCTGAGCATGACGGGAAGATACAAGAAGGCTTGGAGCTGGAGGTGACAGTCCTGATGTGCATTAAAAGACCCTCGTGGCTGAGGGTGGACAACACACTATGTGGAGGGTTCTTACTCACTCTGGTACCCTAGAAATCTCTGACAGGCCCTGAACATTTATCATAACATTATCAGAAAGGGACTGGCAGTAGCAAGAGGCTGCCAGGGGAGGGAAGTGGGGGGGCACATAACATCAGTAAAGCAACTGATCTCAAACCAGTCTCAAACCAGGTAAAGTGGGGACCAAAGGGAGGACCAAACTTCACCTGCATCATGACCATTGGTATACCTAATCCTGAATTGTACCCCACTCTTTAAAAAAAGAAAAAGAAAAAGAAAGAGGTGGGATTATGCCTTGGATACACTGTTACTTACAAGGGTTTGGACAGAAGAGGGTTAAGATTAACCCTTGGATACCCAGAAATCTGCACTTATCATTTACAAACTGCCTTTGAGCTCTTTGAGGCAGGAATAATCATGATCTATGTTTTACAGACAGGGAGATGCTTGTTCCAGAAAATTCTGAAGGTCAGACTCAAACCAGTCTGAGGATTCCCAAACTATGCCCCATGCTGCCTCTAAATAACCCAGCTCTAAAGTGCCCTGGAGGACTGCAGCTGGGTGCAATCTGATGAGATTATCTGGGGGATGGAAGGGGGTTGAGGAACAGGGGGATGGGATGTCTGACCAGTCAGAACAAACCAAGGCACCCCCAGCCAGTGCGAGACTGAGGCAAGTGGGTGGTGCACTTGCAGAGAGTGGACAGCAGGGGGCACCAGAGGCAGTCAGAATGGAAACTCAGATTGAACATGGTCTGATTTTGTTTGGAGCAGAGGGGTTGGGGTAGGGTGGGGAGATGGGTGGGGAGCTGGGGGGGGGCAGAGTGAGACAGGGTCTGGGCCTGGGGAGTGTGGAAATTTACAAAGAGTCCTCAGACAAACAGCAAAAGCAACTAAACTAATAGCAGACATTACAGCTTATTTACTATAAGATCCCTCAACATGCAACATTTACAGTGTACTCTGGGGGAAGAACTTTTGCTGTCAGCCCTGTTTCCACAGAGGAGAAAACTGAAGCCCGGGTACCCCCTTCCATGCCTCAGTTTCTTCCCTTCTCTGTGAAGTTGGGACAGCAGACCTGCCCCTTAGGGGTCACGTGAGGATTCACTCTCTAAGCCTACCTTAGGGCTTAAATAGGGTCCCACACTCAGTAAACAGTCACTAGTGTGAATAGTGGCCACCAGTGCTCCCAATCGGGGAAAGTGGTGCTCAGAAAGGTCAAGCAACTTGCTTAAAGCTGCACGAGCAGAGCCGGATCAAAACAAAAATCGGACTCCTAAGCCCATGAGCTGGCAGAGTGCTGCTCTTCCCACGGGTTTGTCAGCTGGATGGACAGTGGGCAGGTTTACGGGCCCAGGTGTCAGCATTGTGGGATGATGAGGTAAGAGCTCATGGCCACCCAACAAACTGCACTGGGACCTGGGCTTGCTTCTGAAAGTATCAGGGAACCGGAATCAGAGCTGAGAGAACTGGCAGGGACACTCCAGTCTGGGACTCTTCAAAGGGAAGAGAGGCCATATAGGAAGCACCTCAATCTGTCAGAGTAGCTCTGTTTCGACTTGTGTTTATATATTTAGCTACTGTATAAAATTTCATTGTGAATTGTGACTGAAACAAGTTGTTGAACTTGAAAACTACACACGTGGTCCAGTTCCCTCACTTGACAGTGTAGAGGCTGAGATCCAAGGTGGGTCGGAGGTCAACAGCCAGTGGGTGACAGGGCTAGGGCTCCCTCCAGCCGCACTAAGCTGCCTCTCCAAGTCTGAGGGTGAAGACCAGGTCCCCAGGTGTCTCTGAGCTCCAAGTTTGGGGGTGAAGACCAGGTCCCCAGATGTCCCTGGGCCCTGAGCCTAACTCTGCTTCTGTTCGGGCAGAAGCCCAGACCTCTTTCCCTCCCCGGGCTGTTTTCCCATCTGCGAAATGGGGAGGTGGCTCTTGCACCATTCATGACTCCTGCCCGACAAGGTCTCTACCAGTTGATGATTATAATTCAGCAACAGGCTGGTGGAGCCCTGTGGAGTTTCCCAGAGGACAGGGCCCATAGGAGTGAAAATGCAGGCCTGGATTTCCACATGCTTCTGGCATTTCAGGCTCTGAAAGTAGAGCCTTCTGTTATAACTGTGGTGGCCTCTAGGGCCCTTGGATTTGCATATTCAAATGAGCCCTGCCCTTGGCATCTCTAGCAGGTGCAACCAGAGGCCCAGGCCAGGTCTCCCTTCACTGCTACCAAGCTCCAAACCCCACCCCCATCAGTGTTGCTCTGGGCTCCAGCTGACCAGGCCGAGGGCCTCCCTTTTTCCTCTGGTCTTTTGCACAGGCTGCTCTTTCTTCTAGAGCATCCTTCCCTTTTCTCTTCATCTGCTGAACTTCTACTCATCCTTCAGGCTCAGCCTAGAGGCCACTTCCTCTGGGAAGCTGTCTCTGATTGCCTCTGGACCAGGTTAAACGCTCCAGCTGTGCTCTCCCCAGCACACATGTCCTCACAGCCTGTTTCCCACGGACGGGAGAGAATTGAAGTAAAAATCACTCAGGCCGGGGTGAGAGAAGCCACAGGGATGTAGGGACCGTGAGGGAAAAAAATGAGGTTTTTCCGAGTGCTCCGTGACTGGCACACATGATCTGCTTGGCTAGGTATTGTGCTCTTCGACTGAGTCAGGATCACTTGGGCCACAGCTCACTAGGAGAATCCGCTCTCCACTACCTGTCTTCCCCTCTGCACTGGAAGCGTTTCCATCGTGTTCACTGCCCTATCCCCCCAAATTAGCACAGTAGCTCAGGCAAGCTACTTAGCCACACTGGGTCTGTTTCCTCATCTGTGCTTAACATCTTCTCTATGCCTCACCCTCCTATTCTGTAAAGGGATGACAGCTACCCACCTGTGGCCAGACTGCTCTGGGCTGTCATACTGTGCAGGAGCTCTAGTTCAGTGGCGAGTGAGGGGCTTGGACTGGGACATGCTAGACTGGCAAGTTCCCAGCAGGATGCCCCGGCAGCAGCTCAGCTCCCCACATGGGGCAGAAGAACCACCCAGCCAGCCCCAGCAACCCACAGAATCACGAGAATAACAGTTGCTGCTGTTGCAAGCCACCAGGCTTTGGGGTGGTTTGCTGCACAAAAGAATGGATGACAAAAATTCCACTCCATAAGGTTGATATGCGGGTTAAGTGAGTTGGTATATGTCAAGCGCATACAAAGAGTACTTTTTTTTTTTTTTGAGTCAGGTCTCATTCTGTCGCCCAGGATAGAGTGCTGTGGCATGAACTGGGCTCAGGTGATCCTCCTGCCTCAGGCCCCCTGAGTAACTGGGACATACCTGGCTAATTTTTTGTAGAGATGAGGTCTTGCTATGTTGCCCAGGCTGGTCTCAAACCCCCAGGTTCAAGCAATCCTCTCTCCTCAGCCTCCCAAAGTGCTGGGATTACCAGTGTGAGTCACTGTACTCGTTCACAAAAAAGCACTTTTACGTCAAGCCCTCAACACAGGGTACCCATGATTACTGCAATTATTACTGTATGTGGTCAGTAAACATTTGGTGAATAAAAACATGGATTCCAGCTGGGCACAGTGACTCAAGCCTATAATCCCAGCACTTTGGGAGGCCAAGGCAAGAGGAGTGCCTGAGCCATGGGTTCAAGACCAGCCTGAGCAACATGGTGAGACCTTGTCTCTACAATAAATCAAAAAATTAGCCAGGGGTGGCAGCACATGCCTGTACTTCCAGCTACTTGGAGGGTTGAGGCGGAAGAATCGCCAGGGCCCAGTAGGTTGAGGCTGTAGTGGCTGTGAGCGTGCCACTGCACTCCAGCCTGGGTGACAGAGTGAGATGCCAACTCAAAAAAACACAACCAAATAAACAAAAAACCCCACATGGATTCCTGCCCCTCCCCACTCTTCCCCCGGCTCTCACCTGAGCTGAGAAGTCAATGAGCTTTGGCAGGGTCTGCTTGCTGCCTTCCTCACTCTTCAAGAAGTCCAGCAGGCTTCCTGCACAGGGAGGGGAGACGCTTACTACCCTCGCTACCTGAGTGCAGGAGAAGCGTTCTCAACAGTGGAGTTAAATGAAAGTACTTGTTGGCCAGGCTCGGTGGCTCAACCTGTCATCCCAGCACTTTGGGAGGCTGAGGCAAGTGGATTGCCTGAGCCTGAGGGTTCAAGACCCGCCCAGGCAACTTGGTGAGACCTCGTCTCTACAATAAATCAAAATCTAGCTGGGTGTAGTAGCGCGTGCCTGTAGTTCCGGCTACTTGGAAGGCTGAGGTGGAGGATCGCCGGAGCCCAGCAGGTTGAGGCTGCAGTGGCCAGGAGCGTGCCCCTACACTCTAGCCTGGGTGACAGAGTGAGACTCCAACTCAAAAAAAAAAAAAAAAAAGAAAGAAAGTATCTGTCTACCCTCCCTGGTGCTGGAGAAAGGAACCTGTTTGGGCAGTGCTTCTTTGGTTACCAGAGGGGCTGTTTTCGGCTGAGACAGCCTTCGGGGCCTGGCTGGCCGAGATCACAGCTCCCAAAGGCTGGCCTCACTGTGTGTTTAGAATATGGAAAAAGATCTGAGATTTCAAATCACAGGAATTGAGATTGTGTGAGATGTTTCTGTCTGTCCAAATATAGGCATTGGTTGCAAGTGGCTATGAGGTGCTGGTCTGAGAAAGTCCCTGAGGAATCCTGGCTTGGGGCGGGAGGGCCAAACTGGTGCCTGGCGGCTGCCTCTCCCAAAGCATGGGGTGAGCGGTTGGGTGGCAGACAAGGGGACAGCGCTCCTGCCTCTAGGCTCACAAAGGACCACAAGCCTCTTCTCCCAACGCCCAGGTGTTCTGGCCCCACTCAGGTCTCCTGGGGGCTCCTCATGGACCAGGAGGGTCGGGTTGTGACTTTTAAGCGCTCAGTGCATCCTGGTGGGACGAGCTCCTGGCCAGGCCGGGGCACCTCGAGGGCGAGACCTTCATTCACGTCATCCCTGAGCCCGCAGTGAACGCATGGCCCCAGACCCGCCCACTGCACCTTTGGCCATGAACTCCGTGATGATGTAGATGGGCTCCTCCGTGACCACCGCATGCAGCTTCACCAGCTTGTCATGCTGCAGGGTTTTCATTAGGTTGGCCTCTGCCAGGAAGGCCTCCACTGACATGCTCCCCGGCTTCATTGTCTTTACCGCCACCTTCGTGTGCTTGTTGTAGGTGGCTGGAGGGGACAGGGAGCGAGGACAGTGTCAGAACCCACTGGGCTCCCTCCACCACCCTGAAGGCTCAGCAGCAGACCTCCTGTGCCAGAAAGCCTTCCTGCCATCTGAGGCTCAGAGGGAAGGGGAGGCCTCAGGCAGATGGGGGTGGAGGGCTGCTTCCCCACCTCCTAGCTGTGTGCACTCAGGCAAGTCGCAGAACCGTTCGGAGCCATGGTCTCCTCATCTGCAAAGTGGGAATGATGAGCACTGCCTTTGCTGTGGCAGGGATTAAAAAATGACTTCAAGTCTGGGCGTAGTGGTTCACATCTGTAATCCCAGCACTTTGGGAGGCAGAGGCAAGAGGACTGCCTGAGCCCAGGGGTTCGAGACCAGCCTGAGCAACTTGGCAAGACTTCATCTCAATAAATCAAAAAAAATTAGCCGAGTGTGGTGGCACATGTCTGTAGTTTCAGCTACTTGGAAGACCCAGCAGGTCGAGGCTGTGGTGGCTGTGAGCATGCCCCTGCACTCCAGCCTGGGTGTCAGTGAGACAGCAACTCAAAATAAATGACTTCAAACACCACTCAGACTGTCACATAGGCATGAACCCCACTTTGACCTTAACACTGCTCTTGAACTAAGTGCCAGACTTGCTGTGATCTGCTGGCCCTGGGTGGTCTGGCCTTGTCTGCCTCTAGAGCCCCATCAGCCACGAAACTCTCCCTTTGAGGCACCTACCGCCTTGTGTATCCCTCAAGCACTCAACACAACCCCACAGGGAAACAGCACATGCAGTTTCCTCCCCCGCCCCACTCTGCTTCACTCCTGGATCTTGTCAATCTCATAAATGCTTGAGTTTCCATTTAGTCTTGGCTTGCAGGAAACTCTGATCCAGATCTGTGGTTTTCCTGTAGCAAGCGCCGAAGGCCTCCCATTGTATTTTTGGTTTTCCAACCTCACCACCCAGGTCTATCTTGCCTTCCTCTCCATGTTTTCTTTCTGTCACATTCTTTTATTCAGTGCCTGGCACACAGTAGGACCTCAATAAATGCAGCTAAAATACATGGATTTTCAGCTTGCTTTATCAAGCTGAGTTGTGGCATCCCTGTAAGCTGTCCTCACTCCCCTGGGGAATGCCGCAGGGTATGAGCACAGCGGAGTGCCTGGGCACGGGGCTGGGCACTGCATCTACGCCACTACCCTGCAAGGAGGCACTATACCTGGAAGGTTACTGGGGAAGAACTTTGGGGTGGAGCATGACCTCCTGGTGCCCCACAATACCCAACACGGCGCTGGGCATACAGCAGGTGCAGGAATGGCCTGGCCACCAGTTGTCAGCGCTGAACACACCTGCAAATCTCCAACATGCATTCTGCATTCCACATCCCACGGGACCTCTGGTTATCTCAACCCTACACTGCTAGACTGTCCCAGCTCCATGCGGGGAGTGGGCTCCTCATCCAAGACTTCTGCTTTTGAGAAGGAAGAGCTTGGCCCTGCAGGCCTGGTCCCAAAGGCAAATCATGCTTGCACAGCAGGACCATTTGGTTTGCTATCAGAGAAACTGGCTTTTGTGGGTATTATGCAAATCCCCTCTTCTGCCTGGATGGCATTCCCACTTTGCCTTGAGGTATTCCTGGAAGTGAGTGACTCCCCCTCCACCCCCTGGCACCCTGGTTCCTTACCCATCCAGACTTCTCCAAACTGCCCAGCTCCAAGTCTCTTCTCCAGCTTGAGGGATTCCCGGGGGATCTCCCAGGCGTCTTTCTCCCAAGGCTTCTGGGGCTTGGACGATACGCAGGGCACCGATAGCTTCTGGCAGAGCCCATCACTACCCTCTGGAATGGAGTCTCTGGTCAGCTGAGGGCAACAGCTCTGAGCTGGCCAGAGGCTGCCCTCAGGGGCCTCCCTGCCTGGGCTACTGCGTCTGGCCAGTGTACCACTTGGTTGCTGCCATCAGGAACGTTCCCAAGAGAGCAAAGCATGGTGAAGCCTCTGCACCCCAGCCTCCTCCACCACCCTAAGCCTTCAGGAGGCTCCCAAGCAACGATCAGCCAGGAGGACGGTAGGGAGGTACTCGCAGCCTGAGAGGCCACAGGGCTCCAGGACCAGGGGTCCTGCGTCCTGCTGTGGGACCGACTCACTCTTGTAGTGGGCCACCAGCTCTTGCAGGGTGCTGAAGGTGCTTCTTGGGGATACGTAGAAGCCCCCACTGTCCAGGGTCCGGATCTTGTAATGCTTCACAGTATCTCCTTGCCGGGGGTCATAGTCGCGCACGGACAACGAGTAGCTCCCTGCATTGGCCAAAGAGAAGCCCCTAAGAACGGCACCCCAGAGTCCTGCCACCCTGTGTCGGTACCCTGACACCCCTCCTGACTCCCTGCCAGGCCACCGCTGGTGTCATCCTGACACCCGGGCAGGGATGCACCTGGGTCAGAGTGAGCCGTGGATTCAGGCATTCTGGGTTCTCATCCAGGCTCCATCACATCCACCTGTGAGCCCTTGGCAAGTGACTACATCACCTCTCTGTGCCAGTTTCCTCATCATGGAAACAGTCATCATGGCACCCTGCCACACCACACCGTCTGATGATTAAAGAAGTAATGCTTGTAAAGTACTTGGGACTTAAACACATAGCAAATGTTGGCCATCATTGTCTTTATTATTTCCTATCATCTATCTATCTACCTATCAATCTATATTTATCACCTTTCTATCATCTACCACTCTAATAAAAAGCCAAGACAGTCAGGTATGGTAGCTCATGCCTGTAATCCCAGCACTTTGGGAGGCCAAAGCAAAAGGATTGTCTGAGCCTAGGAGTTCAAGATCAGCTTGAGCAACTTGGCGAGACCTTATCTCTGCAAAAAAAAAAAATGAAAAACTTAGCTAGGCGTGGTGGCACGTGCCTGTAGTTCCAGCTACTTGGGAGAGTGAGGTGGAAGGATCACCTGAGCCCAGCAGGTCAAGGCTGTGGTGGCTGTGAGTGTGCCACTGCGCTCCAGCCTGGGCAACAGAGTGAGACTCCAACTCAAAACAAAACAAAAGCCAAGACACCATACCAGTTTGGTAAAAAGTCAGACTACCCAGAAATCCCGTCCAACAATTGAAACGTGAACACATTGTGGTAGGCTGACTAAAGGTCCTCCAAGATGTTCAAGCCCTAAACCCCGGAACCTTGGAATATGTCATCTTGCATGGTAAGGGGACTTTTCATGTGTGACTAAATTAAAGATCCAGAGATGGGAGGTGTGATCCAGGCAGCCCCAGTGTAACCACAAGGGTCCTTGTTAAGGGAGGCAAGAAGGTCGCAGTTCGTGGTAAGAGGTGTGAAAATAGAAATGAAAGGTCGGAGGGATGTCACGAAGGGGCCGTGAGCCAAGGAGGCCATGGCCTCTAGAAGCTGAGAAGGCAAGGAAATGGGTTCTCCCCTAAAGCCTCCGAAGGAAGCAGCCCTGCTGACACCTTGATGTGAGCCCAGCAAGGTCACACTACTGACCTCCAGAAGTGTAAGAAAACAACAGACTTGTGTTGTTATAAGCCACGGAGTTCATAGTGATTTGTCATAGCAGCCATAGAAACCTAATCCACTTTATCATACAGGACAGGGATACACAAGTCTTTCCATCCACGCCCACAGTTTTGCCATCTTCGAACTGGTTGCCCTTGGGCAAGTTTTCTCTACCATGTCATGGGATTTGGGGAAGTTTAAATCGTTTGAATGAATAAGAACTTACTATCCATGCTAGGTACTAAGTACCCTGTGAGAACGAACATGAATGAATATGAATAATATTCATTGTAATGAATTATGATTATATAACTTATATTATTAATTATAGTCACTGAATAACTCCGCGAGGCAGAGGTTTTATAATATCATCACCTTCATTTACAGAAGAGGAGACGGAGGCCCAGAGAGGTGGAGTAGCTCGCCTGCAGTCACACAGCTGGTAAATGGCACAGCTGGGATTCAAACCCAGGCAGCTAGCTCCAGGCACCGCCTTAGCCACTCTGTCCCAGTCAAAGTGAGGCTGGATGGGGTGGGGGCAGGGGAAGCAGCAGGGTGGGATTCAGGGACCTCGTGCTGCAAGTTGTATTAATTGGCTACCCCCCAACACCTCCTGCCACGCTCCCACCTCAGAGGGCCATGAACACTAGACCAGGCTCCCTTTCCTGCTCCACCAGAAACCTGTAATGGTTTCTTTGGTTTCTCTGCCCTGTCTGCAGGAAGGACCGGCCCAACGCCCCCAGCTGGAGAGGAGAAACACTGAACTGTGCATGCAAAGCCTGGCCATTAGGTTTGCAAACTTATCCTAGGAAAAGTGCTCCATACCTCATTGCAGATCATCACTACGGTCACCTTCGAAGTACGCCCCCCGGGAGTACTCCCCTAGGTGCTGGTGTCTTGCTGCACCGATGCCAGCACCTAGTCTACCCATCAAAGCAATTTTGGAACCCTTTCTGGAATGGCTATCAGAGCCATATTACCCTTGATGTCCTAAATGCCATCATCAAATGTCTGCCCTTCAATATTTCCTTTATCTTCGGGTAAAGGAAAAAAAGTCATTGGGGTCTGGATCAGGTGAGCAGGGAGGGTGCCCAATACATTATTTGTACAGTGCTGCCAGTGTAAGCGCATGTGGCAAGTTCACGAATTTAATTGTCAGACCTCAACAAATAACGATGACAGCTCTAGTGGCCATTCCAGACCAAGAGTTCCCAAATTGCTTTGACGGGTGGACTAGGTGCTGGTATTGGTGCATAGCTTCCCAAAGGGAGTACTTCAAAGGTGATTGTGATGATATTCAGCAATGAGGTATGTAGCACTTTTCCTAGAATGAGTTGGTGAACTTAATTGTCAGACAACGGAGCTTTGCCTTTTTGTCTGGTTTCTTTGCGGGGGTGGGTTGAAGGGGCTTATTGGGTAGGAGGAAGTAAAGGCTAAACATTCACTGAGCTGAAACGGCAGTGGTGAGTAGCGTTCTCTTTGCCACATCGAGGCTTTGCCAATCCCAATAGCTAGGCGTCAAGTAGAAAGTCACTCAGATGCCTTTGACCGGTGTCCCCAAATCTGTTTGCTTCAGGGAGCCATGAGCCCACACCTTATACAACTTACCTGATGCATTTGAATCAAGAAGTTGTGAATCTACACCTACTAGTAAAGGCAGACTCTGCGTGTGAAATCTGAAATCCTGAGAATCCTTCTGACGGCTGTCTTTGGGGCAGTCAGACTCAGTTGACGCAAGTTTGAATGATGTGATGTTGTTAGGCACCTCTTGCCTCCTACACATCCACCCAGCATGAAGCTGGTCACCTGACACGGGGGGGTGGCTCTGACTTGGCTCTCTTCCTATGGCCTTATCTTACCCCATTGCCTTCTGGGAAAAGGGAAGATTCAGGCTTGTGGACAAGATATATTGTTATTATTATTATTATTTTAGTTGGAGTCCCCTCTTTCCCCCAGGCTAGAGTGCAGTGGCACAATCACAGCTCACCACAGCTTCTACCTCCTGGGCTCAGGCAATCCTTCTGTCTCAACCTCCCAAGTAGCTGGCACTACAGGTGCGCACTACCAAGCCCAGCTAAATTTTTAATTTTCTGTAGAGATGAGGTCTTGCTATGTTGCCCAGGCTGGTCTGGAACTCCTGGGCTCAAGCAATCCTACTGTCTTGGCCTCTCAAAGTGCTGGGATTACAGGCAGGAGCCACCACGCCTGGCTGTGTGATGGGTATTAAAAAAAAAAACAACAAAACATAAGCAGCCAGGTTCGGTGGCTTGGCCTGTAATCCCAGCATTTTGGGAGGCCGAGGCGAGTGGATTGCCTGAGTCCGCGAGTTCGAGACCAGCCTGGGCAACTTGGCGAGCTCTCGTTTCTACAATAAATAAAAAATTAGCCAGGTGTGGTAGTGCACACCTATAGTTCCAGCTACTTGGAAGGCTGAGGCAGAAGGATCGCCGGAGCCCACCAAGTCGAGGTTGCGGTGGCCGGGAGCGTGCACTCCAGTCTGGGCAACAGAGTGAGACTCCAACTCAAAAAACTAAACAAAACAAACAAACAAACTAACAGAAAACAAAAAGCATAAGCTAGTGAAGAAGGAGCTTCAACAGGATGCTTGTCTGTTTGTCTGTTTTCAGGGTCTCAACCCCATGTAACTACTTCCATTGACCTAAGCTGCCAGCTGCAGATGATGAGACAGGCCGAGCCAGGTGCAGAACCTCAACCTTCCCTGGATCAGGGTGGTGAAAGGCAGGAGAAAGCCTGGCGGCCTGGCTAGTTGCTCAGCTCCCCCATGGCGTCTTCCGAGGGTGGTGGCCAGTCATGCTTGGGGCAGTCCTGAAGGGAGAGACAGGTGAGGAGGACTGGTGTCACCTTTAGTGGTTTCGCTGTCCCGGATCATGAAGGAGCCCAGCACGTTGCCGGGAGCCAGGAGCTGGCGCTCTGCATCCTTGCGGCTGATACCCTTGAAGAACCACCTGGTGGAAAAGGGCAGGGACACGTGAACTGGGGGTGCCGCCTGGCCCTGCCCAGCTTCCTGCAGCAGCAATTCCGCTCAAGGATTGTTTCAGGGAAAAGAGCCATTCTTTGGGTATCAGTCGTTTTACCAGAGGTGAATCCAGTTCACTGAGATAGAAACTGATGCAGCTCGGGCCTTGGGTTGGGAAGAAGGGCTCGTTTAAGAAAAATAAGACAGCATTGCAAGTGCAAAATCCTCCTGAGTCATTCCAGTGCCACTCGCTGTGTGGGACAGGAGACAGATGGGAAGACCAAGCGGAAAGAGACAGCAGTCTTGGCCAGCTGTGGTCCTAAATCTTACTTTTTCCAAGTTTCACAAGTATACATGACCCCAGGGAGGGCTGCCAAGGCCTGAGATAGTGAAGGCCTGAGGTTCACAGGCTATCCCTGTCTGCTTGTAAAAGTCAGACGTTAAGCTGGCACGAACTTCTGAAATGTGAGACTGCCAGAACTTTACACTTGAGATGCTGAGTGGAAAAGCTGCAGATTCTGAGTCCATTCCCACTTTCCCTCGGGTGAGGATGGCTGGGTCATGCTCAGACCAGACATCAGCAGGCCTTGGCCCTGCTCTCCACCCGCAATATGACTTTGAGCAAGTTGCTTTCCCTTTCTGGGCCTTTGTTATTAACAGGATAGAAAGATAGCTCATGTCTGTCGAGTTCTTATTATTCACCCAACAACTCTATGGAACTGTCATCTTTATTATTCCCATTTCATAGACAAGGAAAATGAGGAACAGAGAGGGCAAGTAACTTGCCTGGAATCACACAACCGGGAAGTTATATAAGGCAGGATTCAAATCTAGGCAGTTTAACTCAGGAGCCCCAGATCTTAGTCACCGTGCTATGTAGCACGGTGTGTAAAATGTATAGAATGAGTCACATTGTGGGGACATATTCAACAATGCAGGATGGTATATAGTAAGAACTGTCTCCCTGGCGAGTCCACGCCTACAAAGACATATCCCACAGGTTATGCACGTGGGAGAGGTGACATTCACACAAGGAGATGCACGGCAGCCTGAGCCTGGAAGCAACTTACGTGGCCACCAGGAAAGGACTGGCCCAACGGACCGTGGGGCATTTGCAGGGACAGACACTCGGTGGCGTGAGGAGGCAAGAGATGCCATGCGGAAGACCGAGCAGGGGGTGCAAGACCGTGTGTAGTGTCTAATAGGGACAGACGGATTATACAAGCACAGAGCGTTTGGACACGCACGAGAAACTGGCTGCTTCTGAGTGAAGCAGTTGGTGGGGCAGGATGGGAGAAGACTCTCCTCTCTAGTCGACACGCTCCCTGTGTGCCTTTTGAAACATCCGCAAGTCTTGCCTGTTTCAAGGATGGGATGTGAGGAGGAAGAGTTTGTCCTGATCTGGTTCCCAACGTCCCAGCTGCCCTCCCCAGCAGCAACCCTGTAGCATTTCTTGATGTGGACACAGAGCCTGTGAGCGCCATGCAAGGTCTGACATGTGTACGTAGACTAGCGGTTCTCAAGGTGTGTCCCGGAACGGGCATCAGTCTGTCTCACCTGAGAATGTGCTGGAAATACACCGTCGGAATCAGACAGTGGGGCCAGCTCTCCAGGTGATGCTGAGGCCTGCTAAGTTTAAGAACCACCCACTAGGTGACCACCTTTGTTTGCAAATGGCACCCGCCTGTGCTGTCTGCACCTGCCTTTTGAACTTAGCCCACAGGGTGCCTTTGAGGAGTGACACCAGCCATGCTCTTCCAAGGCTGCTGCAAGGGCCACGTGAGGATGCAGGGATCCCGAAAGTGTCCAGACCCTGGAATGGAGCAACAGAGCATAGGAGGCCCCAGAGAAAAGCCTAGGAGAAGCAGAGAGAAGCAGCTAAGACCCCAACTCCCACAGCACACAGGTTTGCTGTCGCTGAGAAGGGTGCGGTTTCATGATGGAAAAAGCCTAGACATTTTTAGTTCTTTGCAGGCCAGCCTCCTAAGTGCCATCTAGACAGCGGGAGGAAGCAGAGGAGGTAAAACAAGGGGGACTGTCATTTTTTGACATTTTGACTGGCCGGTTCTTAATTGGATGTATCGTCATCCCACAGCATAGTCACCTTTTACTCATCGACCTCACCTGCCACACTGTATCTCCAGAGGGAAGGGCTATCTGAGCCCCCTGGGATCCCTGGATTAGGGCCAGGTATCTAGTAGGGACTCCACAGGTAATCTGTTGGATGATGGGTGGATGGGTGGATGGACGAATGCTTGTAATTATTGTATTTTCAGAATCAAGTTAGACACAGAGGAGAATCTATAGCCAAGAATGATGGGTTTCAGGCCAGCTGTGATAGCTCACACCCATAATCCCAGTGCTTTGGAAGGCTGAGGCAGGAGGATAGCTTGAGGCGAGAAGTTCAAAACCAGCCTAGGCAATACAGCAAGACCCCTTTTGCACGCGCGCGCGTGCGCGCGCGCACACACACACACACACACACACACACACACACACACACACACACACACACATTAGCTGGGTGTGGTAGCATGTGCCTGTAGTCCCAGCTACTTGGGAGGCTGAGGCAGGAGGATCACTTGAGCCCAGGAGTTCAAGGTTGCAGTGAACCATAATTGTATCACTGTGCTCTGGCCTGGGTGAAAGAGCGAGACCCTGCCTCTAAAAAAATAAAATAATAAATAAATAAATAATTTAAAAAGAATGATGGGTTGCAGGGAGCTCCTGAGAGTAGGACGTGTCTTATTTTTTTCTCATGGTCCCTTGGCTTGGCATGAGGCTTGGCAAGCTGTGGGCTCGTGTTTGTTAAATGAATCAAATGTGGGATAACCAGCCAGGTAGGGGTTATCTCACCTCGCTAAAGACCCTTCTTGGCATGGACACATGCTTCATTCAACTAATGTTTATTGAGCATTTACTGCATGCCACCTGTGCCGAGGACACAGTCTCAAAATTCCTGCTCCTGTGAGCACGCATCCTTGCTGGCAGGCACACAAGGGAACAGGGCGTGTGCTAATGAGTGTTCAGAAGGGAGGACAGGCTTCTGCAAGAGAGAAGCGCAGAGGGATTCACTTTTTTTTTTTTTTTTTGAGTTG